TAACAAGTTATGAATAAACTTCCGGAGTTTTTGTTTCCAGTCTAAAGGCGTCCTCCTGTTTAAGTATTAATAAAATTATCATCCTTACTCACTTCTCGTCCGTTGACGAGGAAGAGTGTAAGGGACAAGTGAACTAGTAGCAGCAGACACACACAGCAAGAAAAATTCTTGAGCTTCCCACAACCAGGGTGTTGTTCCAAAAGGATCCTGCAGTGCTTGTTACCTTTGCATCTCCTGACATCGTCTGCTTCTATGTAGCTGCCACACCCTTCGAGCCCAGTGTAGGCGGCGGGGAATGGGGCTAGGCCTGGGGACAGCTAGCCTCAGATGACGAGGACGTACTTGTACCTCCCCCCATGGCAGACATTGGTCTGAAGACACTCACGACAGGGAGGCAAGGGCGGGCCACCTCTTGGAAAAGGGCCGGACCGGACCGGGCCAATATACCGTTGCTAATTTGCGCTGTATGAGAGGTCATGATTACATCAGGTGTCCTACTTATAACCCTTGATATTTTTTCACTTGAAGATATATTTCTCACAATCCCTCATTGCTTCTATGTTATAAAAAAAATCTCTTTTAGCCTTTTCTTCAGATGATTTACTTTGTTCAGTGAATTAGAGACATGTACAGACATTGTATCTGACATGTATGCACATGGTGATGTGTAGGGTTGTGTGTAGCGTTGGTTCAACTAAAGGTGTCTCCACTCTACCAGACGACCCCCCGTGCTCCTCAGCGCGCATGCGCATCAAGAGCGACCGTGAGAAGATGACGGTGAGGAGTGAGGCGATGAGGTACTGGAGATCCATACACAACAAGTGAGTACACACTTTCTCGCTGCCACCTTCAGTGTATGTGGCATATGTGCCTGTGTGACCGCTGTGAATACATGGACTCCTTATGTGAACAGCCTGTGTGTACACAATCCTTGTCTGACTTGCCTTTGTATTTACATGGCCTCCTTTCTTCACTATGTATTAATAGCCTTTGTGTATACATACCCTCTGTATGTATACGTCCTTCGTGTCTGCATGATGGTAGCTGCAGTGGAGTGTGTTGTGGAATTGCATTTAACTTTCAATAACTTAAGAACAGAGGAACACTGCAACAGGCCGACTGGGCAATAGTGGGACAGTAGGTCTGCTGCTCATCCTTTAAGCTAAAAAGCTGATCCTTTTAATATCTAAAAGAACATTCTACAAGACAGAAACTGGCACTAGATGTAATCTTAAGAACTTATTGGTTTTGCCATGTAACGACAATCTCTCACATCTCACACAAGTTCTTCGACACTTACATGTAAAAGTTGCTTTCAATTTGACAGCACTATAAAGCAAAATTAATTCAAAATTCTCTGGAAGCGTCTTTGAGTTGTGGATACTCCATTCTTTTTAAAAGCCGTGATAACTTTAATTTGGTAAAACTAGTAATCCAATTAAGATCAATGTAAAGGAGCATAAATATACAATATCTACTGGAATAGAATCCAGGACTTCGTTCATTCTTGTCAGGGATAAAGGCCATTGTCTTGATTGGACTTATGCTAAATAATTACTTAAATGTAATCCTACAGTTCAACGAAATATTGAATCATCACGTATTCAGCATGAAGGGCAATATATTTCAAATTTATATTCTTGTATATTTAAACTTAACAATTATATAGTCCAGAATAATCTTGTAGGAGTGAGGAAGAGCCAGTTGTGAGTGTGGGGGAAGTTCGTGAGGCAGTAGGTAAAATGAAAGGGGGTAAGGCAGCCGGGATTGATGGGATAAAGATAGAAATGTTAAAAGCAGGTGGGGATATAGTTTTGGAGTGGTTGGTGCAATTATTTAATAAATGTATGGAAGAGGGTAAGGTACCTAGGGATTGGCAGAGAGCATGCATAGTTCCTTTGTATAAAGGCAAAGGGGATAAAAGAGAGTGCAAAAATTATAGGGGGATAAGTCTGTTGAGTGTACCTGGTAAAGTGTATGGTAGAGTTATAATTGAAAGAATTAAGAGTAAGACGGAGAATAGGATAGCAGATGAACAAGGAGGCTTTAGGAAAGGTAGGGGGTGTGTGGACCAGGTGTTTACAGTGAAACATATAAGTGAACAGTATTTAGATAAGGCTAAAGAGGTCTTTGTGGCATTTATGGATTTGGAAAAGGCGTATGACAGGGTGGATAGGGGGGCAATGTGGCAGATGTTGCAAGTGTATGGTGTAGGAGGTAGGTTACTGAAAGCAGTGAAGAGTTTTTACGAGGATAGTGAGGCTCAAGTTAGAGTATGTAGGAAAGAGGGAAATTTTTTCCCAGTAAAAGTAGGCCTTAGACAAGGATGTGTGATGTCACCGTGGTTGTTTAATATATTTATAGATGGGGTTGTAAGAGAAGTAAATGCGAGGGTCTTGGCAAGAGGCGTGGAGTTAAAAGATAAAGAATCACACACAAAGTGGGAGTTGTCACAGCTGCTCTTTGCTGATGACACTGTGCTCTTGGGAGATTCTGAAGAGAAGTTGCAGAGATTGGTGGATGAATTTGGTAGGGTGTGCAAAGAAGAAAATTAAAGGTGAATACAGGAAAGAGTAAGGTTATGAGGATAACAAAAAGATTAGGTGATGAAAGATTGAATATCAGATTGGAGGGAGAGAGTATGGAGGAGGTGAACGTATTCAGATATTTGGGAGTGGACGTGTCAGCGGATGGGTCTATGAAAGATGAGGTGAATCATAGAATTGATGAGGGAAAAAGAGTGAGTGGTGCACTTAGGAGTCTGTGGAGACAAAGAACTTTGTCCTTGGAGGCAAAGAGGGGAATGTATGAGAGTATAGTTTTACCAACGCTCTTATATGGGTGTGAAGCGTGGGTGAGAATGTTGCAGCGAGGAGAAGGCTGGAGGCAGTGGAGATGTCATGTCTGAGGGCAATGTGTGGTGTGAATATAATGCAGAGAATTCGTAGTTTGGAAGTTAGGAGGAGGTGCGGGATTACCAAAAACTGTTGTCCAGAGGGCTGAGGAAGGGTTGTTGAGGTGGTTCGGACATGTAGAGAGAATGGAGCGAAACAGAATGACTTCAAGAGTGTATCAGTCTGTAGTGGAAGGAAGGCGGGGTAGGGGTCGGCCTAGGAAGGGTTGGAGGGAGGGGGTAAAGGAGGTTTTGTGTGCGAGGGGCTTGGACTTCCAGCAGGCATGCGTGAGCGTGTTTGATAGGAGTGAATGGAGACAAATGGTTTTTAATACTTGACGTGCTGTTGGAGTGTGAGCAAAGTAACATTTATGAAGGGATTCAGGGAAACCGGCAGGCCGGACTTGAGTCCTGGAGATGGGAAGTACAGTGCCTGCACTCTGAAGGAGGGGTGTTAATGTTGCAGTTTAAAAACTGTAGTGTAAAGCACCCTTCTGGCAAGACAGTGATGGAGTGAATGATGGTGAAAGTTTTTCTTTTTCGGGCCACCCTGCCTTGGTGGGAATAGGCCGGTGTGATAATAATATAAAATATAGTTTAATATGAAATGACAAACTAGTTAGATTATCCTCATATGCTTTGATAAAGCGTAGAGGGCAGTTGAGAAGCACAGGATGGAGTAAAGTACCATAGAACATCTCTTTGCAGGTATTAAACGCATCAGGCATCATGTCACCATGTTTTTCCAACATATAAAACGCCTTAGCGAGGTCTACATAATTAACATTCCTAGTTTTGGGAGCGAAAGTTAATCCAAACCTTAGAGATGCTTGCTAATTACTTCTTATTAGAAAGATAAATTAATAACAAAATCCGGGTTCGAATGTGTGGTCCAGCTATTCTGTGCTATTTGACTAGTTAGTTTCTTAGTATGAATGAGCTCAGTGTTTCTCCTCATCCTTCTCAGCTCGTCATAAATATAATGAAATAGCTTGAAGATTACATTTCTCCCAGCCTTAGGCTCACGGGTGTGCCAGGCTGGGAGAAACATGGCTTGTAAACAACGCTGCCCAACTTTTGAGGCATCTGTGGCCGAGTGGTCTAGAACGTCACTTGAGGAACCATGCTAGCTTTTCCTGACGTGGCTTCGCTACCATGTGTATATATATATATATATATATATATATATATATATATATATATATATATATATATATATATATATATATATATATATATATTATATGTCGTGCCGAATAGGCAGAACTTGCGATCTTGGCTTAAATAGCAACGCTCATCTTGCCATATAGGACAAGTGAAAATTTGTGTATGCAATAATTTCGCCAAAATCATTCTGAACCTAACGAAAAAAATATATTTGATTGTGTTTGTTTGGTATTAAATTATTGTAAACATATTTAAAATATATTTAGTTGGGTTAGGCTAAAATAAATTACACTTGTTATAATAAGGTTAGGTAAGTTTTCTAAGATTCTTTTGGTCCAAAAATATAAATTTTTACATTAACATTGATGAAAAAAATATATCTTTAAACGTATAAGAGAAAATTTCAGAAAGGACTTAATTTTAAATGAGTTCTTGCTAATTGACCAGTTTTACATATTCGGCACGACATTATATATATAATATATATATATATATATATATATATATATATATATATATATATATATATATATTATATATATTATATATATATAATATATATATATATGCAAAACAACCACTGTGAAAGAATAGTGAAATTCCAAGCGCATTCGTGACTTCTCACATTATCGAGGAACTATAAAAACAAAACATCAAAGGAAAGCATATGAAGAGTCAAGACTACACCTCACCATTACATCACACAACAAAGCAACACCTCACACACGCGTGACGACACCCGACTCTGTGAAACCCACCTAATACTCTACCCAAGAATCAAGATTTATTACTTGTGTAATGTATCATTAAATTCTTCCCAAATTTTATTAATTATAAATGAATCCAATTTATATAAGTCAAAGGAAATATTCATATTTATGGTATATATAAATTGGATTCATTTATAATTAATACAGTTTGGGAAGAATTTAATGATACATTAAACAAGTAATACATCTTAATTCGTGGGTAGAGTATTAGGTGTGTTTCACAGAGTTGGGTGTCGTCACGCGTGTGTGAAGTGTTGCTTTGTTGTGGGATGTGATGGCGAAGTGTAGTTGGGATTGACGGAATCATGACACAAATGTATGTAAGAGTGCATAGTTCAAAAGAGGGACAAAAGAGAGTAAAATTTTTAGAGGAATAAGCCTACTAAGTATCCCAGGTAAAGTGTATGGTAGTGTTATTAATGAAAGAATTAGTGGTAAGACGGAAAACAAGATCGCAGATGGTCAAGGAGGTTTTAGAATGGGTAGGAGATGAGAAGACCAAGTGTTTACATTTAAGCATATAAGTTAACAATATTTAGATAAAGGCAAGGAAGCTTTAATTGCTTTTATGAATTTAGAAAGGCATATAATAGGGTGAATAGCGGAGCAAGGGATCAGAAGTTGCAAGTGCTTTGAATTGGTAGTAAGTTACTAAATGCTGTAAAGTGTTTTTATAAGGATAGTGAGACTCAGATTAGAGTATGCAGGAGAGGAGATTATTTTCTAACAAAAGTAGGATTCAAACAGGGATGTGTGATGTCACCATTGTTGTTAAACATATTTATAGATGGAGTTGTAAAAGAAGTAAATGCTAGGATGTTGGAGAGAGGGGTGAGGGATTAAAATATGCAAAATCTAATATAAAATGGTGTTTGCATATTTACGTTTTTCTGATGATACTGTGCTTTTGGAGGAGTCTGAAGAGAAGCTGCAAAGGTTAGTTGACAAATTTGGGAGGGTGTGTCAAGGAAGTTGAAAGTGTGCATAGATGAGAGTAAGGTATCAAACAAGTTAGGTAAGGAAAAACTGAATATCATTTTGGAGGGAGGGAGAATGGAGGAAGTGAATGTGTTCAAATATTTTGGAGTGGACATGCATACCTGGAGTATACCTGGAGACGATTCCGGGGGTCAACGACCCCCACAGCCAGGTCCTGGGACCTTGATCACTTCTAACATACAGAGGCCAAAAGATAGTATATACAGACGGAGTAAGGTGTGAGTGACGCATGGTAACCGGAAGAATGCCATATTGGGATGAGGACGGGAAGACGATGAGATCTTGTGACTCCTGTGTTGTTGGGTAAGTGGTGATTTGCCTGGTTGAGTATTATGTATGCTAATTTTTTTAAATTTTGTAGCTTCCAGTTTTACTCTTTATGGTGCCGGTGACGACGATTAGCGAGGCTTCCAGACATCGTCGGCTTTTAAGGTCTTATTCGGTGAGAACGAGTTGTGTCTCATTCCAGTTCATCAAACGTCCCGTGGAGTCCCTGTGGAGGACACAGGCGTACCTGAAGTCGTCTCTATTACTGGCATTACGATGCTCGTTCAGGTGGACCGAAAGATCTCTGCCTGTTTCGCCTACATATTTCTTGGAACAGTAGTCACAGGGGTTGGTGTAGAAGTGTTCTGTGGAAGTTAGAAGTGTGAGGCTGCGTTTCGTAGTGAGGTCTTTGATAGTTGATGTGTTTATGGTGGAAACATGCATGTTACCCTTAGCAATTGCCTGGCGAGCATTCGTGTCATCACCACATGGGAACACTACGAACTGCTTAGAGGGCTGTTCCATGGGGGATTTGTTGAGGATAGCTTGTGCCCTGAGTCTGCATTCCCGGATGAAGAAAGATGGAAACTGAAGACTTGTAAAGTCTTGCGTTATGTAGATACATTCTTCTTTTTTCAAGAAAACAAGGGCTGGAAATGCGAAGTGCTCTCAAGAAGAAGCCAAGGTTTATACCAGGTCCATAGGTATACGAAGGACGAGGTAAACTATAGAACTGATGAAGGAAAGAGGGTGAGTGGTGCCTTGAGGCATCTGTGGAAACAGGTGAATGTATGAGAGTATAGTGGTACCAATACTCTAATATGGATATGAAGCATGGATTGTAAATGTTGCAGCAAGGAGGAGACTGGAAGCAGTGGAAATGTGTCTGAGGGAAATGTGCGGCGTAAATATTATCCGGAGAATTCGTATATTGGAGATTAGGCGAAGATACAAAGTTACTAAAAGTATTATCCATAGAGCTGAGGAGGGGTTGTTGAGATAATTTCATTTAGAGAGTGAAGCATAGTAGAATGACTTGGAGGGTGTATAAATCTGTAGTGGAGTTAAGACAGGGTAGGGGTAGTCTAGGAAAGGGTGGAGGGAGAGGATATTATAATCATGGGGAAAGCGCTAAACCCGTAGTATTATACAGCACATGTGGGGGGATGGAAGGTATTCACGCTCACTTCAGGGAACTGGAGCATACAGTTCCCTAGATCAAGAGCCCTTTGAGGGGGAGGGAGGGAGGGAGGGATAAAGGTTTTGTGTGCGAGGGGCTTGGAGCTTCCTTACAGTCAGCGCGGGTAGAGTTAACCTGAGCCAGGTTATCCAGTCTAGTTTTCACACTTTTACTAGTCTTCATGTACTTACTAACTTGTGTATTTTGCAGGCGGCAGGTATGTA